ATCACAATGCAGTAGTCACTACACACAAGTGTACATATAATGCAGCTTGATCAACTGAGAAAATACATTTCTTAAATTTTATTTAATCTTAGCACAAGCCTAGTCACAATGAAGAGTATGTAAGTCTGGTGGTCAGGAGCTGGCAGCTGGGATGAAGAAAAGGGGTGAGGAAAATGAGTTAGGGATTTGGCAGAGATGTGATGCCAGGATGAATAAAGACAGAAGCATGATATAAAAATATTTAGTCTATGTTGTCTAGGGATTCAAGGACATGGAATAATGAGAAAGAAAGGTCTAAGTTAAATTCAGATTATAGACAGCCTTGCATGCTAAGCTAAGGAGTTTGGAGTCTCTTTGTAGAGGAGCGTGGACCTCTTTAAGGCTTATGAAGGTGGCCGTTATTTAATGAGAACTGTCAGCAATGTGCTTGCCAGCAACTTCATCTCATCATGGCATGTAAGATAGCAGCCTGCACATGTTTTATTGGGGGCTCTGTGCATTGAGGAGCGACGCTATATTTATATGTCTTTCTTAGCCTGAGGGTTCCAAGGGCTAAGAGTACAGTTCAGGTATGTCTCCCCCTCTCTTGACCTCACAGAGACTAGCTGTTGGAAGGATGCTGACTGTGGTTCCCAAATGGTTTATAAGAGCCTAGGCCACCACCGGGAATGGTGGGCAGGGGATGAAACACTTGGGGGTGACATGCACAGAAGTTAGAAACTGATTGGATATGAAAGTCTTTTCTCCCCCCACAATGCTCTGGACTCCTTAAGCTCAGGGACCTGGATTCTGCCCAAGGACTTGGTGTTCTTTTCCTTTTTTTGAGCATACTGCAAGCCTTAAAAAACGCTTGGTGTCAACAGAAAGGCAGTATTTTAGAAAATGTTTTTCTCTTTGGTGTTTATTCCAGATATCTAGGAGTACATTTTTTCGAATGTATTTCCAGATTACTGTCTCAAAGGTTTACATCAGTGCATGCCACTACCAAGAGAGTGTAGTTCTGCTCTTGTTTCACATCTGGTCAGTGCTGAAAATTCGTTTATTTTTTCCCCAGTCTGACAGGCTACACATGAGAAAGTAATATTTTCCATTACTGATCACTACTGAAGTTCAGACTCTTTTCATATAATTAGCACCCGTGAATTGTCCAGAGAGTTTAGCCTACTTGAAAATGGGGGTTTCTTTTCTCAATAATTAATGAGAATTCTTTATGTATCAGTGATATTAGACTTTGATTTCTTATTTATTTTGGAAATACTGTATTTAAAGCAAATTATAATACAAATTCTAAGTTTTACATGGTAAATGTATCATTTCTCTCCTTTGTGCCTCTTATATTTTGTATACCTGACAGCCTTTTCCACACTGAGATTATACAGATATTGCCCTATATTTTCTCCATGTGTAGGATTTATATTCACACGTAAATTTGAGTCTTTGATCCATTTTAAGCTTATTTTTGTGCATTAGGTAAAGTATTGATCTAATTTCAGAGAACAATTTCCTCCAATAAAAGTACAACCAATCAACTACCTTGCTTGCTTGTGGTCAAAATGAACCTCAAGGATTTATGTTTCAGATTCAAGAGTTTAGTAAGGAGTTCTAACAGTAGACATAACACCTTGTCTCAGCATATCTCCCTGTCTATCTGAGTCATAGTCAGAGAGAAGATAATTTTGTTCTCACTTAATCCACTTAATTTAGAATTAGTTGTAAGATTCCTTATGTCTTAATCTCCACATTGCCTAATATAGTGCTCTGTGCATAAAAAAAAGTATGTGTTGACTTAAAGATGAGACTTGAGAAAGGAACGCAAAGAAGAGTATAATAATAATTATGCCTTCAAAGTTAACCAGGTAGAATGATACATTCTCTGTCCACTGTATTTAAGTGGAGGAAGAATCATGAGAAAGGAACAAAGTGAAGTGGGCTTTTTTTTTTTTTACCATCCTGACAAAATGATTAGGAAATTTAGCGATAATATATGCAAACCATTTAGTCCAGCGTCTGCATATAGTAGGGCTACTTTACTGGTGACTAGAATATAGTTATTTTTATGATTTTAGGTGCTCAATGGAGAGGCAGACTTCTCTGTCATGGGACCTTTAAGTTTTTAAGAGGAAATAGTTCATGTATGAAATGGAGGCTAAATGCTCCAGTAAATCCGAATTTTAAAGCTTTCATATGGTTTACATCACACTAAAGAAATAATAATTGGAGTTCATTGTTCACTGACATTGATAGTCTCTTCCTGCAACTAGGCATGAGAATCATACTAAATACAAAGAATAAACACTAATGGGGGTTATTAAAATTCTATGTCTTCTCTCCTCTACCATGGCCTGTGTCTATTGCATCTAAATTGGGTGGGGGGAGGTAGGAAGCAGGGAACAAACTAATTTATAAAATGCTATGGCTTTAAACATTTACTTTCAAGTAAGTCAATTGAAAAATAAATTTGAAGGGGCTGAAACCAGCACCCTTGACTGAGCTGACATTGAACCCTTCGCACTTGGCGAATCACTGATGCGGCACCTCCAGGGGATTTGGTTTCTGGGCACCTCAGCCCAAGAGTCTTTTAAAATACAAAAAGGATATGGCCTTAGAGATAAGACAGGCATCGGCTGTCACTGAGAAGCTGCTTTGCTTTTCAGTGGCCTGTTCCCAAGTTTGAGTCTGTATTACAGTGGTAGAAAAGCTTTGGATTTGCTGGTAAAAATGAAAGATGCTCAGAAGCTATTATCTCAAAATAGATATCGATAGATTAGAAGGCTATAGAGGTTTAGAATCTGACCTAAAGGGAATAGGAGAATTGAATCGAGATAATTACCTTGTTAACTTGAGGCAAAATTAAAATTCACCTTTAAGAGAGTCAGACCATTAATGCCAAAGTGCAGATTCTCATTCATTTATATGATAAGGAATAAAAAGTTACTAAAATTGTCCAGATTTATTAAACTATTATTTGTCAAGTGTCATTTAACACATTTAAAATATGCAGAAAACTCTCAAGGTCTTGGAAAATAAGGAGAAAAAGTACCTCCTGAGTATTATTAGTTTAAAAGAAAGCCTCTTTCTTTGTTTTTTTTGTTTTTTATTAGCTTGCATTTACCTTTGGTATTCAGATCAGAAAAACAGGATAAAAAGAAAAAAAAAGACAGCCATTAGTAGGGATCATCTCAAATTAAATTACTTTAATCCTCAATCATAGCCTGTGTATGCTATATTCTAAATTAAATAAAAAGCAAGGACCAAACTAATTTATAAGACGTGTTGACATGAAATAGTTTCAATCCAGACACATCAACACAGAGGAGTATAACCTCAGGGAACTAATCAAAATCTAGCTAATAGAATAAGAAAGTCATACCTTCAAGTTTTGAGAGATAATCACTACATAATTGCTGCTTATTGATCTCTGAGAAGGAATAGATGTTCCAGTGGGAACCAGCTGCCCCAGTGCCCACAGCGTTGCTGCCGCCCTCACCAGGCCTCACTCGGGGGAGTAATAGAACATTCATCCACCAAAGGGCAGTGTGAGGAGCTGCTCAGAACCCCACGTGGGAAACACTGCAGGGGAGACTCTTGACTTCGTGAGGAAGAGCCCGTGAGGGTCTTCTGTCCCAGCATCTTGGAAGGGTGTGGAGTAAAGATTGAGAGGGGAAGGGAGAACTGGACTGAGCAGTAATACCTCATCTCACTAAGTCAATCTTCTCTGCACAAGGCTTCTAAAGCACCTTGTTTTCAAATCAGATCTAAATCAGCCAAGTGAGTAGAGAAACATGGGCTGGAAGCCAAGTAATTAAAATGGAATGCATGGTTTGGATATCATTCTCCATGCATTTTAGGGCACATTATAATTTAGTAAAGAAGAAGAAGTAATATTTGAAAACTGTATTCTCTTATTTGTTCGCCTCCCATTGCAAGAACAGGTACAGTCTTTGAAACTGATGTTCTCTATGAGTAGAAAGAAAATATTAATATATAGTAACTGGGCTAAGTCTCCATGGTACATTGTTTAAATTCAAAACTTAAAATTCCCTAAAATTTCACTTGGAAGCATACAAAATGAAGGACATGGAATTTTAGAAGCAATGCGCGAATCCTGACAGTAAAAAATCAGAGACCTCAAAGTTTGTGACATTAACTTATTCTCATGGTTATGTCTTGATTCCTTTATTATATAACCACCTTTTTTTAACCCAAATGTCCCAAAAGACAGCCTCCTGATTTCTTGTTTTTTCTTTATATATAAATGTATAAGTGTATTCATTCTTTGACCATTCATTCCAACAAATGCTATGAAATGCCTATGTAGAATCAAGTAGGGTGCTAATTACTAGTAGTGCAATGATGAGCTAAAATAGGCAGTTTGTGGACTCATGCAGATACAGCCTGAATGGAGGAGACAGACAATACAAACGTAGCCACACATATAAGTGAGAAATTACGCACTGAAGTAACTGCTACGAAGGAAAGCCATATGATTTGACGAAACCTTGAGGAAGCATGTCTCGGCATAGAGATTTCATTATAAAGTGGGTAAACTAGCTATTTACTAGTGTTCAGTACCAGCATATTACTCTCCAGTTTGGAAGGACGTAGGTCCTGAGAACAAGAGGAAATTGTTACAAATCTTAGGATTCATTTTAGGCAAGAGGCACAGTATAAAAACAATGTTCCTTCCCTCCCCAGAAAACAACAACAAAAAAATGTATATTGCATGCACTAAGCAAGCAGAAAACGCACCATCAAAGCTCACCTGAAAAAAGAACATATGATCAGTATGTTTACCAATGTTTTCTTCTGTCTAGTAGTCACTTTGTTTCTGAAAGGATCACATTTCTGTTTCATTTGTATTTCGCTTCCTGCCCTGTGTTTCTGCGTAACCCTGTATGAACTCTCAGTTGAAATGTGTGAGGGTTGGCTATATGCTGCTTTTTGAATGCTTTCCAGTGCTTGATAAGGGGGCACATGGGGCCGTCTTTGTTCTGTTCCAGGAGACTACGTGGTCATGTGTGTCTACTTTGAGCTGAGCAGGAGAATGGGCTACTTCACCATCCAGACCTACATCCCCTGCACACTCATTGTCGTTCTCTCCTGGGTGTCTTTCTGGATCAATAAGGATGCTGTTCCAGCCAGGACCTCCTTAGGTGAGACACACCTTTATTCCTTTTAGTAAATTGATTTGCTTTTAATTCAGTCAGCCATTACATAGACATGCTTTTTCATTTTTAAGGAAAACTAGCATATTAAAAATGAAAAAACAATATTTAAAGTTTCCTAATTCTGCTTTCCTAATCACCTTCATAGAATTTATTCTTAGTAAATTATTAATAAAGTTAAGTTAATTAGGGAAAAATCCTTCTAATTTCAATAGATTTAAAAAATTTTTTGGTCTCTGAGCAGTTTTATATGCTGGAGCTGCCTGCACCAGCTCATGAGAACTGGTCGTTTGTCCTTTCCCGATGGTGTGTCCAGTGATGTCTCAGTGGCAGCTTGACATCAGCCGAGGTGAAAGCATTAACACCAAAGAAATAGTCAAACACTGAAAATCACAGCTTCCATATTTTCTAGTTATTTGTTATACCTTTACCAGCACACCACTGGCTGTTCATTAATTCTGACATATATAATCATGATGACATTTGAAGACATACATATATATTAATTGGCCACTTACCCAAGACCCACTAAAAAGATTATTTGGGGGAACACACAATGATGGGAAATTTTGAGAACCCATCTCCCCACTTTGAAGATCACTTACAGTTTGCTCAATGTATTGTATGATGGATGATATGTGTCTCAGACTTTCACGTCTGTTTCGTCACATGAGAAAAAGGCACACGGAGATTAAAACAAAGCCAGAGACTCACAGGGAAACAGGAGGCTAGGGCCACGAATAAACTTTTTATACTTGATAAAATTCTCTAAAGACTTAACAAAGAAGAAAACTACTGAAAAATGAATTATTAAACCATAATCTCTTCCATCAGCTACGTGAAAATTAGAGCCACATCCCTTGCTCAGCCCTTGCTAGAGAGGCAGTATCGTGCAATAGGTAAGAGCTGGGGTTTCGAAGTCCAGCAAATCTGAGTTTCAACCCACAATTATAGTACAGCCTTGGAAATACCCTTTAGTCTCTACGTCACAGTTCCCTCACATGTAAAACATGTATCGTTTCCTGCCTAACTTGTGGGGTTTTAATTAGATTGGATAAGGTATTCTGTGCAAAGTTCACAAACCATAGTAAGACCTCGGAAATGTTAGCAACTATAGTCATTTTCTGACAAAATGATCTGTACCAAGCTACTAAAACTGAGGGCAAAAGCAATTACTGGGGAAAAAAATTTTTTAAAGCTATCATTTGCATATTGATCCTCTTCCAAACCTAATTTAGTCTGCCATCTGTTTCAAAATAAAGTTATTTTTACTTTTTCTGTTATATGTGGTACTTTATGTTACAAGCCCTATTCAACAATTATAGTGTTTAATGCTACATGCTGAAACAAACCCAAAATGTGTTGAGCTTATTACTTTAGAACAATTAATTCTCACTCTGGGTAGAATGTGTTGCATGACATGCTATGTCTGTCTCTTGCATGAACAGGTAAATATCTTTTTTATTTCCAGTATAGTGCCTGGCACATAGCTGGTAGCTCAACAGTTATTCAAGTAATACATGTGTACTTATGAATAAATGGAACAAATGGATTGATATATTCCAATTTACCCACCCCACAAATATTTCAAGGAAAAGATTTCATGTCAATTTCTTCTTCTAAAGTCCAGATTCCTGCTAGTCACAATCACTCTTATGGGTGCTCTCACAGCTCATTTTAACCAATCATTAATGCCTGCTCACTGGCAAAGACAATGTGGGGAGAAAGGATCGAGGTGGGGGAGCTGAGGAATGAGGAATGAGGAATGAGGGAACAGGTATGCGTTCCTGTTTGTTGATCATTGACCAAAAGTTGACTTCAAGTCAAACATGTTTAATATGCATTTTCCATTCTCCATAACTACAGCATGCAGAAGTTGTGATAGTTTAAAAAATCACATTTTTTAGAGTTAAAGAAGCAAAGGTGCTACAAAATTCAATGACATTTAAAAGGCAATAAATATCTGTGGGCATAGTGAATGATTTCAATTATACTTCTTTTCCTGTCACTGAGGTTGCTTACCAAGTGTCACAAAACAAGTTTAGCTTCAGTGGTGACTGATGTGGTCACATGATTTGTTTTACTGTGCCCTCCCCGCCCCTTCAGGTATCACGACTGTCCTGACAATGACGACCCTCAGCACCATCGCCCGGAAGTCGCTCCCCAAGGTCTCCTACGTCACAGCAATGGACCTCTTTGTGTCTGTCTGCTTCATATTTGTCTTCTCTGCTTTGGTAGAGTATGGCACCCTGCATTATTTTGTCAGCAACCGGAAACCAAGCAAAGACAAAGACAAAAAGAAGAAAAACCCTGTACGTATCATTTCCCGCTGGGACCACTGAAATTTTTATGCAGAAAGACCACCTGGCTTGGTTTTTGGTTTGGTTTTGCTTAGTCAATCTGCAGGTTAAGCCTCAACACTTTGGGCTCCAAAATGAAAAGTGAATATGTGAGTTTGACCAGGACATAGGATTCATTGAGAGAGACCTAATTCACTAAGGCAGACTCTTGCTCTCTTCATTTCATGGGGAATACAACCATTGCTAAGAAATGCATCTGTGTGCTAGCTGCTATTATTCTAGATTTCACTGATTTTCATCTTTCTGCCCCTTTGCTGTAAGAGTTTGTAAATTATTGATGTTTTCAATGAATTTAAAGAGATTTTATTTATTTATTTACTTTTAGAGAGAGGGGAAGGAAAGGAGAAAGAGAGGGAGAGAAACATCCATGTGTGGTTGCCTCTCACATGCCCCCAACTGGGGATCTGGCCCGCAACCCAGGCATGTGCCCCGACCGGGAATCAAACCACAACCTTTGGGTTCACAGGCTGGCACTCAGTCCACTGAACCACATCAGCCAGGGCTAAATTAAAATTTTTACCCAAAGCTTTCTACTAAGAAGTCACAAGATTCTTGAAATTTCAAGGATCACCACACTTTTGCAAATAGTTTAATGTGTGTATGTGTGTGTGTGTATTGCCACCAGAGGATTTCTATTGGTTTCATTCATATTCAATGTATTTATTTTGATTTAAAAGAAATGTCTCATCTATTGATGGGCAGGTTATTTAGCCTCCCTTTGTTTCCTCATGTATAAAATGAATATTATAAAAACACATATCTTATGGAGCTGCTGTGAGAAATAAATGTGTTGACAGAGGTAAAAAGCATTACATAGTACCTTACACATGGAAGTTCTTATCATGACAGATGACAATGATGGTTGATATTGATGATTTATACAGGGACCAACCTGGATGGATTTCAGTGATTTGGAAACAGGGAGAATGACTTCTCCCTGCTACCAAACTTTTAATAGAGATGGTGAAGCACAAATTGAATGCCTAAGGCCATTGTCTTTTATTACTAATTTTGAAGGGAGCACGTAGCTACCCATTTGCCCAGCTGAACACCATGTCTGGCTCATGGGCCCCTGTGAAATTTAAGGTCCATTCCCTCCAAGTCAGAGGCAAAGGAATGAACTCAATGTGCAGCCTTTCCTGGTCTTCTGCTCTAAGGGCCCCGAGGGCAATGGCAGTGGCTGTCTGACCCATGAACTTTGTGGGGCTGAATGATAAGGAGGAAATTGAGCTGATTCTGTTGTATTTTGATGCATCTCCAGGAACACCAATGAAATTGTCTAAATTGTATGTTCATTTGAATATAAGAATTCATAACAGGTAAAGAAAGAAGCACCATTTTTCTTGATGAATATAAAAAATAAATGCTCTTTAATTTCCCAAATATTCACTGTGCTTTATGCAGTCCTTTCCTTCCCTGTTCTGCCTCTCTTTGCTTTAGCATTTTCTCTCTCTTTTAGTTTCCTTGTGTTGGTGTTTTTGTTTTCTTCTTCTCCTTCACTTTCCATTTCATTTCCCCCCAAGAAGATGGTTTGACTGATACTCAGCATTGTTACCTGCCAGCAGTAACAAGGGTGTGAGGGGATTGGCTTACAAACAAGTATGAAGAGTTCTTTTTTCCTTCCTTCCCTTCTTCCTTCCTTCCTTCCTTCCTTCCTTCCCTCCTTCCTTCCTTCCCTCCTTCCTTCCTTCCCTCCTTCCTTCCTTCCTTCCCTCCTTCCTTCCTTCCCTCCTTCCTTCCTTCCCTCCTTCCTTCCTTCCTTCCTTCCTTCCTTCCTTCCTTCCTTCCTTCCTTCCTTCCTTCCTTCCTTCCTTCCTTCCTCCCTTCCTTCCTTTTTTGTTCTCCTTTGGAAAAAGCCCTTTGGCCCTCTCTCACAGCTGGGTCATTGCAGAGTACATTTTGTTATAGAAATAGAAACCATGAATTCCTTATTCCAAGGTCATAAAGATGACAGAAGAAGAAAAGAAGGCAGAAGAGAAAGGCAATTAAAGCAACTGAGAAACTAAAGTTATCTGGGAATTTCATGCATTTCCCCTTTTTAAGGCAAAATTGTATGATTTATCAGAAGATGCAAGAGCCTAAGGGGTAAATGAGGGACTAAATTTTCATTTTCCCATTTAATATGTCCTTTGGTTCATTATCAGGATTCACCTATTAAGGCCTTTTTAATGAGGATTAGAAAATAAAAGAATAGAAAGATTTCTCCCAAATAAACAATACCGGCGTTTGCAGTTAGGTAACTTTGGGTTAATTTACTGAAGACTTTACCAACAATCACTGAATTCCCTTTTCCAACTTTCGGCATATACTTTGTTCCACGCTCAGAACTGTCATTCTGTGTTTATAATTTCAGTTCATTTTACTTACTATGTTTTCAAAATGCATTTTTAATTTATCTTATTTTGTCTCTTTTTTCTTTTTTTCCCCTTCTTTTAATAAAAAAAATGCAATTCTCTTTTCTGTCTACAAACCCAAAGCTTCTTCGGATGTTTTCCTTCAAGGTATAATGTTTTTGGAATGGAAATTCACTGCATGCAACTGCTGAATTTAAGTATTAACGCTTACATGGTGTTTTATTTTTTTTTATGATTAGACATTTAAGCATTCTACTAAAGATTACACGTTTAAGATGAGAACATTCTATAGATTTCTACAGTTGGTTCAGCAACCCTACACTAATTCACAAGGTGTTGACCTTCCATGAAGCTGAATGCTGTAAGCACTATGAGATGGCATTAGTCAAGAGGGCCTCTTTAAGCATGAAAGCCAAATCTTACCCTCTCTTCTCAGATGAAAACTAAATCCAATTTCACTGCCTGCATGTACTATATACCACATATAATCTATATGCACTTAAAATTTAACTCTGTAAATCCTAATGCAAAATAAGATTGCCTTTGGATAAGTAAATGTAATAATCTTTATTGGTCTAAGCTCCACCTGTCAGCTCTGTAAAAATAATACTGCCTGTAAAATGTTTCAGTTAAAACACCCTTCCCACCTTCCAGGGTGAGCCAAGAGCCTCGGGCTCTGTCATGCAGTATTACAAGATTTCTACTCCCAGTTGAATGCTGACAGCTGCATCAGAGACACTGGGGTTTGTATTCACATTATCCTAAAGCTAAGTCATCCAAATTAACACGAGAAAGACCATCGAGTCTTATAGCAATTTTATAATTTGTCCTGAAGAGAAACTCATATGAAAAATGCTCAGTCACTAACTATCAGAGAGATGCAAATTAAAGTCACAATGAGATATAAAAAAAAAAACCCTTTGATTAGCATTCAATTAATTGGTACTAGTTTCTTCTTCAACACTATGTTTGGTGGCAGTAACATTTTTTCCTGAATTTTCACTAATAGGCAGGTAAACATAGCTGACATTCATTCTGAAGCTTCTAGATGGTGAATGTTACACGAAGTACCATATCCCTTTAAAACATAAGCCATGCTATTGTAGTATAAACTCAGGAAACTTCTATATTTATATATTTTTTAGCATTTTATACTAAAGCATTTAAGACATTTACTCAGTATAATGGGGTTTACTATTTGTCTATAGGTAAGCATGACACAATCTTTGATTTCAAAATTGGTGCATTTTTATTTCTCTGTTCTACTCACATGCAAAACCATTAAATGCCTTCATGTAACCAACCTCACATCTAATATTTACTAGAATAAGATTCCATGTAGTTGTTTGATTTAAATCTTTAAACTTTTAGTTCTTTTGGTGTTTAATCTTCTTGCTCTAGCTGTTAGCTTGATGGTATTATTTTCAGCCGCACTGCTTAAGCTCAAAATTTGAAATCTGCAAATGTGCTATCCTTCTAAGTTCAATTTCACCATTGTAGATCACGCTGTCATAGCAATCTCCTGAGTACCCATTTTCAGATTCATCATTCACATTGGTAACATGTGGAGACACAGTCTAGGACTTACCAAGCATAATGAACTCTGATCCCTCTTTGTCCCTGCCCTTGTCCCAGGCCCCTACTATTGACATTCGCCCAAGATCAGCAACCATTCAAATGAACAATGCCACGCACCTTCAAGAGAGAGATGAAGAATACGGGTATGAGTGTCTGGACGGCAAGGACTGCGCCAGCTTTTTCTGCTGTTTCGAAGACTGCCGAACAGGAGCTTGGAGGCACGGGAGGATACACATCCGTATTGCCAAGATGGACTCATACGCACGGATCTTCTTCCCCACTGCATTCTGCTTGTTCAATCTGGTGTATTGGGTCTCCTACCTTTACCTGTGAAGAAGCATTGGTTTTATTGATATGGGTCTTATTCTTCACTAAATCTCATGGGGGAAGATGTCCTTTCTAAGTCCATTTAAGTAATCCTTTGTGTGGTTTACAATCATCTGAATTTGTTTCTGCGTTTTGACCTGGTAAGCTGTATTCCCGTCATACTGTTTGTGCCCAACTCTCTTTCGGTAAGTGTAATTTCAACTATAATGTTCTGTGTTGCAAACCTGCAGGGCAAAGTGAAATAAGAGCAAGAACATTGAAACCAAACAACGTATTTCCAGCTACAGAACTGAAATAGTAAAAGCAATGATTATTTACAGTGGTGGTGTCCTTATTCAATTCAAAATACAATTACAAACAAAACATCTCAGACTGTACTCTAAGTTCATTTGGGGTCAACTTGTGATAAATTTGATCCTCACAGAACATCTCCTCATTTGAGACAAATCACAACTCATCTGAAATATAAGAACCTAGACAAGAAATCAATTTACCTCTATCCCAAGATAGAAAGAAAATTTCCTCCACATCACATGTACAATGATGTAAATATTTCAATAACATAGAATGCTTCCAGTTTAATGCATGCATCTCTTTAGAGCCAAAATAAATGGATTAAACTTATCATCGTAAAGTATTGTCTTTTATTTTTTGTGTCTTTGGGCTACAAAAGAATCATGAATGTAATTATAAGGATTTGGGATTAGAATTGGAGGGGAAAATTTTCACTATTTTTATCCCTCATGCATGAAGACTGAAACAGCTTATTTTTTCTTTCTATGGCGTATTAAAACACTCTAAGTAAAATAGAGACTGAAAATTCAACATCTGCTGCCTCTAAATATGCCCAGTTTCATAGAGTATAAAGTGATCGTATGTGCTTGCCGCTATTTTGTTTTCTTCCTTTTAGGATTATAGATATTGACAGAACTTAGTCTCCATCTCAACATCCGCTTCTAGTGATTGTGAGTGCCTTGTGGGCAGTGCCCTTGTCATTTCCTGTTCGGGTCCTCGGCACCTTGCACAGTGCCTGGCACACAGGTGGTGCTCCACAAGTATCATGTGAAGTGAGCTGGCCCCACGTGCTTCCGGTGACTAGCTCTGCGCTGGCCCGGAACCAGTGACTCATCTTCTCACATCAGCATTGTCCGAGGATGTTGGATCTTGCAGAGATGACTGGGAGGATCCAAAGAACTTGGACTATTTATATTTATTCTCAAGAATTTATTTTAGTCAAGGTCCATACTCCTTTAGAACAATATTTGTGTCCTGTATTTGCATACAAAAATGAGTCTACTAGGGAATAAGGTTTGTGTATAATTCTCCACGTTCAGGGGTGAGTCAGCCTTGACCCATGTGCTTGAGGACCCATTACAGACATAAGCAAGATTCGTACTTACTCGTGCTCAGAATATAGTAATCTACACTCTGTGAAATTTTTTTAAACAGTACGGAAGATTGAATTTCAAAAATGAAATAACTAATGAATGACTTACAAGGAGGTTGAGTCCGTGCCTGTGGCCGCATTCAGCTAGGTTGTAATCACATGAAGCGGTTGTCCCAGACTTCAAACCGTCGCGAGTGGAGTTTCATCTTTGGGTACTCATCCTGAACCCTTATTTTTCCAAATTGGCACCCTCTGTCAGTTCTTCTTTATGCCAATCATTGCTCTAAGTCAGAATTCAGTCACAGCTAGCAAAACTTTATGGATAACCTGGAAGGAGGAGAAAAGAAGAGGCGGTGACTTTGTGAATACAAATCCATGTAAAGTCATCTGGATGAATCTTGAAACACATTTAGCTGCCAACTTTACAAACTTTTAATATATCAGTGCTCTAGGATACAACCTCAAACCCATGTAAATAGAATCAATTATTTTCTTGTTTTGAATTGTTACCTATTAAATGTTGACTCTTTGGGAGAGTTGTTGGCAAATTTTCAACGATGAGAAACATGTTATTATTGTCAACTTGAAATGTATTCCATAATGGGGATACTCCAAAAAGCTAGCTTTCCAGTGTGTGCATAGAATGGATAATATGAATATCTATTATATATGATCTAGTTCTCAATTTTCAGCTGTTCCCTGTGTATGTATTTGAAAACCTTTTCACAAGGGGAATTGCCTAATATGTGGACTTTTACAATAAAAATGCTGCATCCTAATCCAAGGTGACATCCCAGTGGTCTGGTTGGACTTGTTTGTCTTAATGATTGTGCCCTCTCTTTCCCGGCTTATGCCCTGACTCTGCCTTCCCTTTGGGTGGTCTTCATGTGTGATCACTTGCGATCATGTTTTAAGTCATGATGCTTCTCGCTTCAAAAGAGTGAAGACACGCATTTGGGATGTGGAGTGCAGATGGAAGGTCGAAATGTCATGAAGTAGTAAAGTTCAAACCTTCTGTACCCCAAAACTTGTGGTGTGGTTAAGAATATGGACACAATGTCAGGCATGATTGGGGTCTGAACGCTACATTTACCAGTTGTTTGACAATTGTCAGTTCAGCCTTAATAAGCCTCCATCTTACCAGCTGTACATTAGGTGTGATAATGCCACCTCGTGTAGTGGCACTCAACGGAGGGACACAAGCCCCGCCCTTCACCCCTAGTGCCTAAGGTGCTCTGCTGACCATGCACCCCCGTCAATCAGCTCTCCTAAAGGAATCAAGCCTTGTGTGACTCTCTGTCATGATGGTTCATTTTAAAAGAGTATTTGCATTGTAAACCTTCTTTACATCTAGTTTGAAAATCCAATTCTACTGTTGAAAGAATTCTCACACATTAGATTAGTCGTTTTTTTTTTAAGGTCAAAGAACCCTTCTCTGTACTCCCGAAACTTAAACACATAGGGAGCTATGCTCCAGAAACCATGTGATGTCTCCTTGAAGTCCTCTGAAATTTTCAAAAGGGAAATGCAGCTCAGTCCTTTACAAACACAGCTGCCGTAACCTCCCTCTGCCTGTCATTCTCCTGGCCCCTCGTGGCTTCCTGCATCCAATTTAAGCATCTATTTCTCACCTTCCAGACATGTATAAAAACAGTTTTCACCGAGGTTCTGTCTGTTTCCTAACTCAGGGGTGCCCAACCTCTGGACTGCAGACTGGGACCAGTCTGGGCCTGCTAGGAACCAGGCCTCACAGCAGGAGGTGAGCTTGAATGTGATGTACTTGAATCATCCCTAAACCATTCCCCCACCCCCGCCCCCAGTCTGTGGAAAAATTGTCTTCCATGAAACCAGTCCCCGATGTCAAAAAGGATGGGGACCACTGCTCTAACTAATGCCCTTATATTTAGCTGGGTAGATATTCATGATATGGACTTCACTCCTCCCCTCCTTTTTTTTTTCAATTCCCAATATTCTTCTGACAAGTAGTAACCATTTTTATCTGTGTTGAAGGTCAAATTAAATTAACCAAATGAAGTGGTCTTTGGGGATTATGTCAAAAATTGCTTTCTCTGGGCTCTGTCACTATGGATTTTTGTCAAACGTGTAGAGCAACAGCTCTGCTACAGTGTTTTAATGCTCATCGAGTTTCCAAAGGTCACACAGCCAGTTAACGGCAAACCTGGAAAACCCAGTGCTTTAGGGTTTGCCGAACTTGAAGATTTCTTCTTTCTTTGACCTTGATCTCACTTCAATTATTTTAACTCAAATGAGGAAATTTTAGAATACGTAGGTAAGTTTGCATTTTGTTTACTCTCTCATATAATAATCAATCAATGTTTAATGTTACTCACTGCTTTCAACATTCTACTTGAGAAAAGGGATCTCCAATTCCCTGAAAAATTTCAGAACCAGAGTTGGCCTTTGTCCCTCAGGGACTGGGGCATCAGACAGTGACAGTGTGCTCTGGCTGGTCTGTAGGCTCATTCTTTCTACTATATCCGGAAAGTTGCAGGAATGGTCTCTAGCGTTCATTCCGGATTAGAAATTATGGGCTAATTACAAAAGTCACTTGTAACTTCCTTTTGCCGTATTTGGGATAATGAATAAAAGTTTGCCCCTGTTATCGTTGGTAAAACAAAATGAAAAAGCAGAGGCTTTTGCCCTCGATTTACCTACATTCAGACTCTGGCACTGGCTAGTCAGAAGCCCAACTGCATTTTGCCTCGGTTTCTTCATCTGAAACAATGGGGTAATGATGGTTCATAACTCACAGTTTTATCATAAGGAGTAGCTGTGTTAACACGAAGGGGTAATTGGAGGTTAGAAATGTTCTTCACACAGATAATGAAGTGTCAGAAAGGAAAGGGCACAAGAATCATAGTGCACCTTGCTTAAGAATAATTATTTTTAATGAAGTTAATTGCTACATTTTTCCATTTTGTGTATGAATGCATTTCAGTAAACATTCTTACTGACATTATGCCTTACTTGGGAAATTCATGTACATAAAGAAAATTATAAAGCTAATTGACTATTTCCAAGTGGAATAGTATATTATTTAAATCACTATATGTGATATATATGAAGATACAAGTAGATATTTTTAAGTAAAAATTATGATTTAAAAATACAGAAATGTCTAATTGAATTACCAAACATAAATAACATAATAAATATGTAGTTCTATTTTAATATAGTATTTTTTGCAATGTAACTAAGCCAATAAATTATTTTGTAACTAAGTTTACAAAATCATTAATGACATGAATATGAGGCTGCTTAATCATTATTGAGGACTGCTCCCATAAAAAGAGAAATAATGTCACTAGACTAGAGATAGATAATTCAAGTCACTTCTGGGGATTTTCCTAAAAATCCCTATCTTGAGAGACTCAGTTTCTCATATGCAAATGAGAGTATTTGGTCACTTCTCCTTCTGACATATTAATTCTGTTACTCCTCTGCTGTTTTATAATGGTGTTACTATGTCTTATGATTTATTATTATCTAACATTCAGACCCTCCTAACTCATTCATATCTTCGCACAGCTATTTTCACTCATTTGTCCTATTTTCTCCTTGCATGCTCTCTGAAAGAGTGCCATGTGCCTAGAATGCCTTTCTCCATTCAACACGCTGAACAGTCATCACCCATCAAAGATTCTACCTGGTCCGTGAGGACTTTCTAATTTCATTGAAGTACAATAGGCTATTTTCTTTTACTTTTCCTAGTACTTGAGGTGATTTTTGAATAGCCTAATTCTACTGTTTACCTCAGCTAAATACTTAGATTGAACCAATCATCTTAGTAAACATATTTTAAATGAACAATTCCATGACAAGAATATGATATAAATAATTCAATATCTATTTGCATCTTAAGAATCTTCTGTGTATCTGCTGGCTTTATAAATTTGCCTCATAATTCTTTCTGTCATGAGTATTTTTTATGGGTTTGGAAATAAGTCCCTAATCAAAGAAGTTTTGATTAGGCACCTATAAGTTCAATTCAATATGAAGCTTTCTATAAACACATATTGCAACCCTCACATAGGGCACTATGAGAGCAGGACAAAATATATGTTAAGGCACTTTCTGTCCCCAAATGCCTCTAATATGATAGAGGAATCAGCTAAGAACACAAGTAAGTATAACAGAGCTACATAAAACTAGTTGCAGGTAGGAGAAATCATTATTCTCACTGTGGCTGTAACCAGAGTATATTTTTTTCTGGCATACAAAGGATTTCACCATATGAGAAGAATTCCCATTCTTGCTTTAAAATTTTCTAATGAAAACCTTGCAGAAATACTTATAAAAATAAAAAGGCATGAGTAAAAAATACCCTTCATGAGCAGGAATAAACCAATAAAAGCATCATTGTCTTTTCTCCTTTTTCTTTTTGTCTTTCTCTCTATATTCACAAGATATAGATAGACAGAGGTACAGGTATAGATAGAAAGCTGTTTGGAATATGAGAGCGCTATATATTTTATACCATGTATTCTGTTCAACATGAATAACTTTCCAGTTGGCTTTCTAACGGTCAAGCAAATGCCTCCTGAAAACTTCTTTCTGGCCGTTAATGTGGGTTAATAGCCATGACCTTCTGGTGAGCCCCACGCAAGGTGCCAAGTCAGCCAGTGACGTGCAGTCAGAAGCAGCCTGGGGCAGTCTTAACAAAGAGTGGACTTTCTGAGCCAACATTTCTCATCTGTTCAGTTCAAAAAGAGACAGGCCTTCTGAGTCAGTCGAAGCCCAAGGGTACAATTCTGTACTGGGTTTAGGGCTAAAAATAGCAAAGTCAGAGTCCTGTTTTTATACGCAAAATGAATAGAGGGACAGTTAAAACTTAACTGCTACAACTTAACCTAAAGTGACTATGGCTGGACCATTGGAAGAACAGATCGGCTCAGTAGACAATGAACCCAGTGACCCACAAAGTACATGTCTCCTCATTGAATAGCCGCTACTGCCTTAAACCTCAGAGGAGGGCCTAGTCCTCATTAGGACCAGATTTGACCTCTATTGGACAGAAGAGTAGAGCAATTCTACTTGGTATTTAAAGTTGGTTCCTTTCTTCTTAGACTCTAGAGACTTTGTCTCTCTCTGTTCACTTTCTTTCCCCTCAACCCCCCACCAAAGCTTGATGCCTTTATAAGGTAATGACAATGTGATTGCATTCAGTTAAGTATATTGAGAACCTGCCATATGCCAAGCACTGCACTAAGCTTTAGAAATATTATGGTAAAAACTATCGGTATAGGCCTTGTCCTTACAGACTTTACAATACAATGCCGAAAAGTACTACATATAAAATTCAGCAGGTGGTGAGAATTATTACTGCATAAGCAAAGATGTGATCACAAAATACTAAACCCCCCAATCCCATATACATATGGAGAAATGATGTATACATATATAGACCATCGGGTTTCCCTACATTAATACATTATTTATTTAAAAAGTCACTATAATATAATTATTCATGGCAGTTGATAAAGACATGAGGAAACACCTTACTCAAGAGGGATTACTGCAGTGGGGTTTTGAGTAGGGGAGAGAGATTGGCCTCAATTACGAATAGAGGGCAAATGGGGATTTGTAGCAAAGAGCACAGTGGGGTCAGTGGATGGAAAAGTACACGGGGAAACCTCGAGGCCAGCGGGATGTTTGCTAAGCTGACTCAGTGGGATGTGAGGGGTGGAGATGCCCAAGGGGTTGGTCCCAGTGGGGTAGAAGGCTCAGAGAAGTCTGATGAACGTTTGGTCAAGGAGAGAATTG